CACACAGTTTCTAAGTCCTAAGTATTCTTTCACTGCTTAATGGAATATTTTTAAGCAATACACAAGGGTGTAATACTTCAGTTGGCAATTCTTACATAATTGATTGATGTTTTTTTAAAAAAAACAAAAAAAACTTCCCGCTCCAGAAATTAAATTCAATAAGAACAAATTGTAGTTTTTTTTAATCTCTATGGGACACATTTTTAAGAAGAAAGAAAAGACTATTATTCCACCCAAGCACATCCTTAATACACTACCTAGAACAGTTACATTTGCAATACCATGGATCCTGTTAGGGAGCAATTACTTTGAATCCACACATACCAACTCAGATGAGTACATTATATGGTGGCAACAGCAACTTCATTTGAATATCATTGCTCTTAAACAGGCAAGAGTTACCGTAGTGAATGAATTATTCAATGGATAAATTCAATAACACATCTTCTATCCTATGCAAATAATTCCACAGTATTGCTATGAGTGAGAAAACACTGAAACAAAGTTTCAGTGCAGATATTCAGATGCATTATTCATCTTTGCTTCCGCTTTTTACCACTCTCTGTGGGTCCGTTTTTCTACATCAAACATTTTGTTTTCTGCAACCCATTAATTTTTCCATATTGATAGGACTGTTTTCTTCATATGAATTTTAACTAAATCATATATTAGTCTAGGGACTGGTCCACCATGCAACATTAATTTAAAAGGCATTCAAATATGGAACCATTATGGGTTTTCATAGTCAGAAATGTGAGATCCAATTCTTCCTTCTCTTTGCAGAAGAAATATAAAATGGTGTCTAAAATTTGTGAGCAAATGTACTGAGCAAGCAAATCAGAATATTCCCAACTAGTTAGTGTTAAGGGACATAAGGGATCAGCCAAACCAGCTAATATACCACAAGAATGACATGGAATAACCTTCTAGACAGAAAATTAACTGTCTAAACTTAAGCAAATGTTGCTAAAAGAAGATGAAAGTAGATTGGTTGAGTTTCATTGGGAACAGTGAAGCATCCTTGCCTCTATTCTCCAACCCATTGTTTGTGGACCCAGAAAAAAACATACTTTGTCTAAAGGAAGGATGCACAGAACTAATCCTAAGCTTGGGAAGAGATTGTAGAGATCAAGTGTCACTCTTTACACAAATGAAAGCTCTTTGGGATTCTTGACGATTCTTGCTTTATGCTCCAAATCTGGTCAAAATATGATGATGTTGTCTCTCATTTTTGAGCACAGGATTATAACTTTAAAAGCCTGAAAAGCCATTGTATTTCTGACCTGGGATGCTTGAAGCACAGAGAAAATGTGGTTTGCAGAGAACAGGGTGAAAGCAGTGTTTCAGAGACAGAACATTGGGAAGAAAAACCTACTTGCCTTTCAGGGCTGTTGAAATGAAAATGCAAAACAAAACAAGGAGCTTGATGATACAATCAAAATTGCTTTTATCCATAGCAACCTGCATCTTCAGATGTGATTTAAACAGAGAGGGTACCGCTAGAAATGGCAAGCATATATAACATGATGTCTTAAGATAAAACTGTTAAATAGGATTCATGGAAGAGGTGTCCATATTGAAAAATATATGCATTAGTAGCAGTAATTTCTTCCCCTTGTATTAAAATCAGCAATATTTAAAAAGCAAATTTGATAATACCAAGTTTCAAATATTTTTCAAATTTCTGAGAGCTCTAGAATTGATCATTCCATAATTAAAGCTCAAAAACTCTGGTCAATATTGAATCAAAAACATTTGTCCAGTAAGTATGACTTCAACATACACATTCTTTCTAACCAGAGGTATAATATGGAACTGTCCAATGAATGATAATGGTATAGCAATTTTCAAATACAGGGGGAAAAAAACCCATATTCTGTTGTCCTAAATGTTAACTTCCAAAGTTTTTTTTTCTCTTTTAGCTATTTTAACTATTAGGAAAATGTAAAAATAATAATAATTGCAAGCAAATGTTGCTAAAAGAAGATTTCCCACAGCTTAGTACTGTGGGAAAATGTCAGATATTTCCCTCAACAATTCCCAAAACATTTATAGGTGGAAAAAGTTATATTGATTGACAATGAGCTCAGCCTAAACTACCTTGCCAAGAAAGTTTGTAGAATAGTATCAAATTGCCCCTAAGATTTGTGTATCCTAGGTTCATAAATGCATGGTATTCATCTTAAAATATTCCCTGAGGCACGTAATATTTTCCTTTCTTTCTCCTAAAACATAAATGAGCTGCAAATTAATCAGGCTAACAAAAGAATATGAAAAGTTAGGCTAGCATGGGGATAATACAGTATATGTGTAATCAAATCACAGACCAATATGTGATGGTAGTTTAGAAATGCTTCCCTCATTGATCTAACTACAGTGGGATAAAGGGAAAATGAGCATTCTTTTCAACTACCTGAAAGAGTTTCTAAGAGAAGTTTACTTTTACATTCTCTAAATCTAATATTTATTTAACGAGTTATTGATCGTGTTTGAGAGAAAATATAATCTAGCATGCCACTGGACACTCTCTCAAATTGTAAAATATTCTCCTGTGAAATTCCTAATTCTGAGGTAGATACCTTTTTTAAATTCAAAAATACCGGAGCTCTATGCAGTAGCTTCTTTTACAACTTTCTGTCACTTTCCAGAGATCCAATATTTAACCGTCCTATAAATATTTAAAGAGTATTACATGGCTGTCCAAACTGAACAACACAACTCTAGGCGGCTTATAAGAAAAATATACTGTATGATTTATAGGGCAATACTTTAAAAAAATATGTGCTCGCATGAAGGTTTGAAAGAATGATATAAACAGACACCACCTCCCCTTGAAATAGCTTTATAGAGCAGGGGTCCCCAAATTTGAAGCCTGGGAGTTGAAGTCCATAAATCTTGCCAAGTATAGAGACTCCTGTCATAGTGCAATATGGCCTTTCTCAGCCTTCTCTTACAAAATTCACGTTGCAGGAGAAAGGCTAAGAGAACCCTTCTCCCAGACTGCTTTCCCAATTGTCCCAAACCTCACTATCCTAGGATTGCTCATAAAGCCCTAAAGGCAAACTGCTGGAAGCATGTTCAGCATTATTATTTTTTTTGCTACACAATACATAATTAAACTTTAGACTCTGCTTGTACAAGAACTGGGCCTGGCTACCAGCTGGGCTGTCTTCAAGAAAAGAGTTGGACAATTCATGGAAGACATGAGGATCAATGAACATTAGCTTTGATGACAGTGTGACAGCTTCTGAAGGCCATCTCCTGGGCGACTTGTGGGCTTCCTTGTGCAGTTCAGTAGCCGTTGTGAGGACAGATTTCTGAACAAATCGATCAGGGGGCTCAATCAAGCAGGGCACTATTTATGTTCTTAAGTGCTAAAGGTTTTCAGCTGGGTACTCTTGGTTTGCAAAACAAAGAAAAACAAGTTACAATAAGGCATACATGATTGTGACAACAGCTGGTCTTTTGAATTATTTGTCTTCTTGTCAACAGACTTCTCATTAAGATTTTGATTTAGAAATTCAGTGCAAAATGGTGGCTCAAACTACTTCTTGTTCAAAATAACAATCTTAACAGTCTCAGGCGAAATATAATTTTGAGCTTCATTTTTCCACAATTATAGCCCAACTGTATTGTGGCTAAAGTAAAGGTGGTTTTTGAGGAGAATAAAATATGGAGATGTGCAAATGTCTTTCAAGTTCTCATAATCTAGACAGGGTAGATTTCGTCCCTAATTTGCCATCGATAATATATGCCCTGAGTCACTTGGAGTTGGTGGCATATGCATTTAATATATTATTATTATTATGGTTAATCTTTGGTGATTAACCTTTGGGGCTGGTTGGTAGCTCAACAACTCAAGTCCTAACCAAGGACCTAGGAACTGTTCAGGTAGCGTCAGAGGATATAAGCTGTTCCAAGTAGGGTGGTTTTTTGTAGAATCAGGGTATTCAAGTCTGATAAATTCAGAATTTCCAAATAGCTCCAATTACAATTGGGATAACACATGATTTCTTTTTCCAAAGTCGCTCAACTTCAATTTGTAAGTCCCGGTACTTTTTGTTTTTTTCTTGCTGCTTGTCTTCAATTTGTGCATCACTAGGTATTACAATGTCAATGAACCAAACCTTTTTCTTTTCAACTATTGTTATATCAGTTGTGTTGTGGGCCAAGTGCCTGACAGTCTGAATTCTGAAGTCCCACAAGATCTTGACTTTTCATTTTCCAGAACCTTCTCAACCTGATGTTCCCAATAGTTGTTACTATACTCAAATCCAAACTTTTGGCAGTTTCCAGTGAATGATTTTAGCAACTCGGTTATGGTGGTCTAGATTGTCAGTTTGTGAAATTTTGCTGCACCCACTGATTAAATTGTCAACTGTTGTTGTTATATTATTATTATTATTATTATTATTATTATTATTATTATTATTATTATT